TCGGTTCTTTAATATTCGGTTTTTGGTTTCGATTGGAGTATTTTGCATTTCGATTAACCAAAATAATCGATAATTATAAGGGTATATTAGTAATTATACTAAAACCCTTTTTGTTTAGGCCCACCAAAACCAGAGACTTGAGAAGCATTGAATGCGTCTGACTAACTAGGTGGGATGTCCCGTCATCACTCTATCATGTTTTCTGTCGTATTTGGGAAACTGAAGTGAGCTACCCCTTTAAGGGTCCTTTCCGTCAATACATTGTTAAATGATCTTCCAAGTTTCAACAAGGGATATGGCACAATGCACGTATATAGTTGCTCTACAAAAATTCGGTCCCATCAAAGAGAAAAGCCATTAGTACACCCTATTTTTATCTTCTCTCTCACTAGTTATGAGCACTGAAAGTAATAATTGCATACCCGAAAAAGGTTTCTGCATTTACTCCCAAAGGAGGTTTCCAGAGGAGCAATGGAAAACCATTAATATTAGGGGTAAGCAAACGTTTCTCGACGAGCATAAGTATTCCTCTCCAAGTCTCTGTGTCTGGCGACTGGCGTCTGACTGTCTTCCCACTTCTCAGTTTCCTCTTTCCGAAGCAACAACTCATACTCCAGCAACAGCAATGGCGAACAGCGAGTTGATTGTCTTCCCATTTTCCCAGTTCTGTGTTGTGCTAAGAGTCTTCCTCTCCAAGTCTGTGTCGTGCTCTGTCTGTGTTTGGTCTGGCATCTGACTGTCTTCCCACTTTTCCAGTTCCCTCTTTCTGAACTCCAAAGCAACAACCTCATAGTCTCATACTCCAGAGACGGCAACAGCGAGAAGCAAGTCGGTTGTCGAAGCCTCTTACTCTCAGTTATGTAATATTTATTATTATTTTTTTTTTCTTTTTCTTCTTCTCTCATTTTGCAATTTTGTGTCATTTTCTCAGTTTTTGCTATTTTCGGTTTTAATCGAAAAAACCGAATTAACCGAAAAATAAATTCGGTTCGGTTTGTTCGATTTAACCTAAATTCGGTTTCGGTTCGGTTGCCACATTTCATATTTCGGTTTCTAAAAATTCGGTTTGTTCGGTTCAGTTTTAAACCGAACAAACCGTTTGCTCACCCCTAGTGTCTGCTAAGTTATGGGAGCATTTCATTAAATCAGCCGGCATCAGCTGGGTTATGCCTCGATCTGTAAAGGAGGTGCTGTGTAGTTGGAAGCTTTCTGGTCTGAGTAAGAAAGGGAAGCTGGTCTGAGAAACAATTCCTGCAGTTATCCTGGTTTATGTTTGGTCTGAAAGGAACAGTCGCGTCTTCTGCAACAAAGCTAGAGCTCCTAAAGACCTGCTTAAGACTGCTGTCAATAGACTTGCTTCCTGGTTATCTGTAATTTCAGAATTTAAAAACCAGAATGTTTTTCAACTTCTTGAATCCCACTCCATTTGGACTTTGTAATATGATAATTCTCCTGGTGTTTTTCCACTATGTTGCTGTTGTATTGTATCTTCTCTCATCAATAAAATGTTACTTTACCTTCTCAAAAAAAATGAATAAACAAGGAGATTAGCCAAGGTGAATGTTGAATTTCCTACTTTATGTGCCACAAGGGCATAAGTGTCTTTTTACCTTTATTGTAAAGTCACTACAACATATAAATATAAGAACTGGAGCCACCGGGTCAATCTTTTTTGGCTCTCAATCAATTCTTCTCTTCTCTTCTCCTTCTCCCTCCTTTCTTCCTCTTTTTTTTTTCTATTTTTTCTTTGATAATGTGGTATCAAAGCCTGTTTGACCAAGTGGTCTAGTATTAATCCTCATCTCCCCAATTATAATTAATTAAATATCAGCACAAGGTATGGGTGGACTTGTGCTTGTCCACACTTCAAGTCCAATGGGCATGTTATAGAACAAAAACCTATTCACAGAACTCACCTATCAGTTTACACAGATGCTGATTGGGTTGGGTCAATTGATGACAGAAAGTCCATCAGTGGGTACTGCACCATTGTAGGATGTAACTTGGTCAGCTGGAGGAGTAAAAAGCAGAGTGTTGTGGCCAGATCCAGTGCAGAGGCTGAGTACAGGGCCATGTCTCATGGAATTGAAGAAACCTTGTGGATAAAAAACATGTTGAATGAGTTGGGGTTTGGTGGGGATGGTCCTATGTCACTTTATTGTGACAACAAAGCTGCCATTAGTATTGCAGCCAATCTGGTGCTCCATGATAGAACAAAGGACAAAGAAGTGGATAAACACTTTGTTATGGAAAGGCTAGAAAGTGGAGAAGTGTGCACACCATGCACACCATATGTTAGTTCCAAGGAGCCACTTGCAGATGTGTTTACACAGGGACTTCATCACTTGCGGCACAATGACCATTGTGACAAGTTGGGCATGATAGACATCTATGCTCCAAATTGAGGGGGATTGATTATATTTCTTACATAATGTGCTGCAAGGGCATAAGTGTCTTTTCACCTTTATTGTATGTCACTAAATATAAATATAAGAACTGGAGCTGCCAGCCTGACCTTCTCTCTGTTTTTTTCTGTTTTTTCTTTGATAATAGTGGACTGAATGAGAGTTACTCCATCCTCCAAGGAGATATAGTTTCATTTTCAAACTACAAGCTTCTTAGAGAACCTTTCTAGAATTGGGATCCAATCTCCAAAACCTATTCTTCTCCCTCAGGTTGGCTCCTAAGGAAAGCCCTAGGTAGTTCAAAGCCCAAGAGACAAGTGTATAGCCCAGCATTCCAGCAAAGTGTCCTAGTAATCTTTCCTCCATATTGACCCCAACTAGGCAGCTCTTATCAAGGCTTACTTTCAAGTTAGGCATCCTCTCAAAAAGCTCCACTACCCCTTTTTCATATTTCTCACCTATTGCTCATCACCCCCTTCACAGAAAACAATAATATCATTCTCAAACTGGAGTGAATAACCACCACATTGTCTCTCCCAACTCTTCAACCCTTGATCAATTGCCTACTATCTGCTCTTGAAATTATTTAACTAAAAACATCCGCCACATAAGTAAAGAGAAAGGGAGATAAGGGATCCTGTTGTCTATGTCCCTTCTAGCTTGAAAGAAGTCTTTTACCAAGCCATTTACCAAAGCCAAATAATTAGAAGAGTGAAGTCTCTAGAAAAGTTATTTGAATTGGCAAACCATAAACTTTTTTAAGAAAAACTACAGTTCTTTTTTCTTCTTTGATAATCTTTATATAAGCAGTCAAGGATTTTTTTTTTTTTTTTTTTGTGATGTATCTTTGGCTTTGTACATTCCTAATGTACAGCCCCAGTTGTAAAAGTTTCTCTTGTGATTAATATAAATTACCATAGTTGTCAAGGTGACGCCTAGGCGACTAGGTGGTTTTCCATGGTCGCCTTGCCAAAACGCCCTGGATTTTGTATACTAGGCGCCTGCCCAGAGACTTAAGTGGGTGCCTACATACATCTAAGAAATTTTTTTTAATTTATTATTTTGATATTTTATTAGATGTTTTATTCTTTTAAAATAAAATCGTTTACATGCTATCATTTTATTATTAAGACAACAATACAAAGCCTTTTTCTTTTATTTATGCATAACATAAGGGTTTTTTCGGTTCGATTGGAGAGGGAGGAAAACCGAAGACTTCATGCCCCAGCCCAACTCCATCACACATCAGCTTCAGCAAGTAAGTTCTTCTTCTTCTTATTCCAGCCCAGCTTCTTCTCAGCTTCAGTCATTTTTTGCTTTTTTTTCCAAAAAACAGGGGCTCCGCCCCTATACTCCTCCCTTCCTCCACAGCTCCTGTTCTTCTTCTTCTTCTTCTTCTTCTTTTGAAAAAAAAGGGGCTCCGCCCCTGACTGTTATCAGTCGATAGTCTCAGTCCCTTTATTTTTTGAAAAAACCATGGTTTTCAAAACCGGACCAGACCGGAAAAACCGGGAACCGGTCACCTGACCAGTTCCGTTTCCCCCAAAACCGTTGATTTTGGTCAGAAAACCACTGAACCAGCTGGTTAACCGTTCGAATGGTTTTGACTGTTTTTCAATTTTTTTAATTTTTTTATTTTTTTGTCAGAACGGGCCGTTCGGGTCTAACTGGACCCCTACCGGTTCAGTCACCGGGTCGGTTTTAAAAACCATGGAAAAAACAGGGGGCCTATACTCCTCCCTGCCCCTAATCCCCTATACCTCTTCTTCTTCCGCCCATATACTCCTCTCCTCCCTTCCTCGTTCCTGCACTTTTTTTTCAGTTAATAGTTAGTGTACATACTTGCTAGTTATATGAAATTTATACTCATTTGAATGATTTATAGAGTTAATAGTTAGTGTACATGCTTGCTAGTTAGTGTACATGCTAGCTAGTTATATGAAATTTATACTCATTTGAATGATTTATAGAGTTAATAGTTAGTGTACATGCTTGCTAGTTAGCACACAAAACCAATAAAATAGCTTAGAAAAGCATAGATGAAGTAAAAACTCAAGAAAATTAACATTTTAAAATTCCAACGCCTAGGCAACGCTAGGCGCCCGGGCGCCCTATGGTCGCCTAGCCTCGCCTTGGCGCCTTGAAAACTATGTAAATTACTTTACCTTTGCTCAAAAAATAAGTGTAAAAGCGTGACAAGATGGAAGAAATATGCAAAAACAAATGGAGGCCAGCATAAAAAGCCCCTGAACTATAGTCTAGCTCTAAGCAGCACCAACAATCATCAATGTCTCTATGGGATAATGATGCAATGAACAATTCAACTAAAGTATAATGTGCCTTAAATGTCTATAGCCCAAATTTTACAATTTTAGGTGCCCCATTGAGATTTTCTATTGTTTGATAACTAAAATTATGTGAACAAGACTATTTAAAAAATTGTACTAAAATGGTTAAATACACAAGGATGAGATTTTCGTGCATAGTTCTAAGATCCATTCAATGAGAAAAACATAACTCTAACCATTAAAGTTACAACCACCTCRCTCAAAGTACAACACAGCTCAAGAAACAAAGTTCAAGCTAAAAGCATACCTCAGTGTTTTTCAATGAAGCCAATGCCACACAAGCTCTTGAAAGCAGAAAATCCCCAGCTAGAACTGCTAGCTGCATCACATATACTGTAGGTTGTAAACCAACTATTGTCAAAAGCAAAATGCATGTCCATGAAAGAATGGATTACCAATATGTAGCATTATAAAAGAGAATTTTGATTAACATTTACAATTCCTTAATAATTAATTGGTAAACTTTACCAAACCAAGGTTTAAAATGTCAGTGTCAATGAAAATACCCGTCATCCAAATACAGAAAACAAGTCAGAAATGTCGGAAACATTGTATGGAAATATTGTAAAAATTAGACATGGTGCAAACTTTGTGAAGTATGCAAAAATATAGAATGCTATTTTATGTAATGATAAAAGATGAATAGGTGGGTCCTTTTACATTATTATCTTGTTCCAAATCATCAAAACTACATGATAGAGTAAGTTCAAGCAAAATTTAACTCATATAAAGTGCAAACAATTCTAATAGGTCGATCAAATAATTTTTTATACAATAAAAACTAAGATTTAACTTCATGCTTGAAAAGAATTTCAAGCTGACTTAAAATGGTAATCATGTCTATTAGGTGGGCAATAACACTAATACTCCACATATCTAAAACATTGTTACCAACTTATGTTATAATACTATCTCTTGTACTCCACATAGCACTAGCAGCTTTCATTGAGGAATATGTCAAATTGCTGATTCCAGTAATATTTCGTGTCGGTACCCATGGAAATGGAAATATGTGCATGCCTCCAAGGAAATATTAGGAAATTTATAAACATTTTAAACTATGTACCAACCCATATGCTGGCTTAATAGTTACAAACTTACAACATGCACACACTAGCAAAGAAGTAATGCCTTTGACCATGGTTCGGGGTGGAAATTGCAAGATAGTTCACTTTTACTATTCAGAAAAAAGTCAAAAAAAAAAACTCAGAAAAATGTTTATCATGAGAGTCCCTAATCCCTTTGCCAAATTGTTACAATCCTTCACTCCATGGACTCAGCAAATGCCAACTTGGTGTGCCATGTTGAGTGGCTGATGCAGCTCAAAAATGAAGAGAGAATGTGAAAGAAATTTGCTCAAAGAAATAGGAAAAAAAAGAAGAGAATTGAATGGAACTTCATTAATCAAAGATAGCTTACAATATGAGACAACAAGGTTGGAGACTCACTAACTCAAAGGGGTTGGGGATTCACTCACCCAAAGAAGAGAGGACTCATTCACCCAAAGAAAGGACTCTCTCAACTCTCAAAGAAAGCACTAGGATTCTCAAAACAAAGGAAAGAACTTGATGCCTCTAGCTTGAGATTATAAGGCTTAATATAGAGAATAAAACTACTTGTTTGAACATTAAATGAGAAACCAGCTATTGGAGTATTAAATGCAAAACTAGTTGTTAGAGCATTAAATGAGAAACTAGCTATTACAAGTTGTTGGAGCTTTTAATGAACTAGTTGTTGGAAACCCACTAACCAAAATAGCTGTTGAAAGCCCTTTAGTGAGTTCAAATTAGGCCCACTTGCTTTAAAATGATATGGTGCTTCTCGGGGCATGAACTTGAATTGCATCAGTGGCACTTTCACAAATAACGCATAGTTTTCAAGGCTGTGAGGCACCAAGGCAAGCCTAGGAGATAGGGGCACCTTGTCAAGAAGAAGAAAACAATCAATATGTCTTGGTTGAACAACATTTCCCCGTCTCTTTCCTTCTCTTTTCCTTTTTTCTCTTTCTTTCTTTATTTTTCTTTCCCTTTCCTTTCTTTTTTTTCTTCCTTTTCTTTTTCTTGTCTTTTATATTGAATGGGATAAAAAAGTCCCAAGTGGTTACTATACTGACATTCATGGAAAGTTTTGAGAGTGTCGGAGCAATGGTTTCCTTCTATGTATAAATTATCTCCAATTTCTTGAGATGAACTTACAGTTCAAACAAAGTGGTAAATGACTTCCAYGAAATACTTAGACTGGTCAATGGTTTTTTTTTTTTGATAATTGAAATAATTTTATTAATCAACAATAGACAATAGTACAAAGTCCCCAAGGAAAGGCACGAGTTTCAACCTCT